GTGTAGTTAAGATCTGTTAAGTGTGCAATAAATTCAATTATCAATCCAAACTCTGTGATCACACACATGACATGTTAAGGTAAATAAATACTTATACCATTCTAGTGGAATGACACAGCCTTTATTCAGACAATATAAACTAATATAAGTTAATGTTATCCACCTGAGTTCTCACAGTTGAATGAGTCGTACCTGATATACCAGTTCTACAGTTTCTATGACCAAGACGCATAAACTTTCCTCCATAGAAGATACCCAATCACAAAGACTGACCAAACCATCTACATGAAAAATGGACATTTCTTTCGCATGCTATATACCATTTCACTGATTTACAGCAACGAATCTGCATGCAACACACACAATTCTCTGGCGCTAGAACTCTTCCCATACCAATCCCTATGAAACCAATACTGAGCCAGTTTAAGCCTGTTCAGCGCCTGTAGCTACTTCCCAATATTACCCACTTATTTTGTTCCCATCTTCTAAGTGGCTGCTTCCTGGTAAGGTTTCATGGCCAAAATCAGGTATACATTTCTTGCATCACAAATCTACACTTCATTACACTAACAGATACCTTTGTACAACTACTCTAATAACATGATTCATTGGGTCCAATGGTGGGCTCTGGTCAACAAAGTACTGAACCTTCAGATTCCATAACAGATGCATGAATATACTGCAACTGTCCAAACTGTCCACAAGTATGGACATTATGTGTCATGCAGCGTGGCCCATGGCTAACATCTGAAGATATTCCCCATGTGTGCAGAGTGGCAGTTTGCAACTAAATCTGTTCTACATATTTTGAAACTATATCGCCACAACAATCCTCACAGTAAATACAATTATCAAGATGGATGGGACAGGGCTCACATTTTATGCCACCTTCATTCAAAAGCACAAATACTTTAAGGATTTGCCTAACTTCCTAAAGGAATTTCTAACGAATTAAACTTTCAGCTTAAAAAAAAAAAGAGAGAGAGAGAGAGATACAGATCATGATGTCCAAGACCAATTTTTACAACACTGAGCAGGAGGCTACCCCAACCTCATATTTTTCAGTACCTTAAGATCAGAAATAAAATGCATGTGAATATATAAACTTGCAAGTTATGAGTAACACTAAGGACACTTGATACAGATCCTAAGATGATGGCACCATATTATTAAAGATTAATTAAGTTCTGTTACAGTAAGTTTTTTGAAGAATGTAAAACTAGAAAATGGCACTTGCATGAAACCACTATGGCAAGCCAAGCAAAATTTGCTATGCATGTCATAAACACAACTACAAATACCGTATGAAACACTGCTTATATGTCAATGATTAAAAACAGTATATTTTTAAGGTTCTGTGTGTCAATCTTATTGTACATGAATATATCTACTCAATAAGTTCTCCAAAAGATAAAGATGATATATATATATATATATTTCCAATTGCAAGCAAACAGGAAATTACCACTCAACTAAGATGACCATTTGCAAGAGTCCAGCACATTAACAAAGGAGCAGAACTGATTACATACTGGTCCACAAATTTCTGTTATACATGGCATTAACAACACAAGATTTGTGACACAAAGTCTGCATAACAGGAAAGCAGACTTACTAAGTGAACTCCATATCACACTGGTAATGACAGCAACTTCGTAAGCAACTTGTTGCACAGGGAAGCGGATTAATTTGGCATGATATGCATAGTTTACACAAAGCATAACAGTACTAATGTATCCCATGACACAAGCTGCTGCAGTTGCAAGATCAGAACACACATCCAGTTCATCTCTGACAGCTTACATCTATATATGTCTCTCCAGTCCAAATCTGTATGACAACATGTCACATCTGCCACAATCTGGATGTTCGGAAAAACTAGGTAATACAAATTAGAAAGTAACTGTTACAAGTAAAGGAAATCTGTTTTTCAACTGGTTTAAATACACATCTGTTTATTTTTTATCTCACAGCTCATTATCACTTTGCAGATTATGTGTGGACACCTAACCAAATATAAAGAACATATACTAGAGCCAAGTGGGTCTCACAGAACACAAAATGTGTCAGAGCTCATACTGTTCTTCCATTTGCTTGCTGAAGATACATGTTCAATTGATATATGAACAATTAAGCTTAGCCATTTTAATATCCTCTGAACTTTTCAATTTATAACAAAACCACCAGCAATACAAATGCTTGATTACATTTTAAAGCCCTTGCAAGTAAATTCCAACACATGAACAACTTCAACAGTGAATAAATGATGTACTTAGTGAACATATTTCATCACCAAAATTAAATGAACAATAAAGATGCAAGACACAACTTCAGCATCACAGTCATACTGTTGAAGAAATGCAACATGTGAACAATGATTCTTATGAGTAAACATCTGCAGAGCAAAATTATCAAATAAATCAGTATTCTGCTCATTCTGGTCTGACCCACCCAACTGCCAACTTCTTCTCACCACTTACGCCTGTCTTTGAATTAAGTGCAGAGTAGAGAATATAATACAACAAACTGGAATTTGTAGGATTTAAGGTTTTCACAGCCATGACTATGAAGAATGCTGTCTTCTGGGATGTGGCACTGTGTAGATCTTGTGTCAACCGACATTTTGGAGGAACATATTGCCCCCATCTTCAGGGTAGAAAAATCTGCGAGTGAGGAACTAGCATATGCAGGTGGCTAACCTGAAGATGGAGACAATACGTTCCTCCAAAACATCGATTCACACAAGACCTACACGGTGCCACATCCCAGAAGGCGACATTTTTCAAAATTGGATTTATCTACATTCTACAGGTCCTCCAAGAATATGAAACATGTCATACACTACACTACAATACAAACACAGATATAAACACAAAGTTGTACATACTTACAGACATCCCTTATAATATGGAATTACATCCAAGAACCACACTGATATTATTTTAAAGTATTTGTACTTGAGAACTGTTGATTAAGGTAAATTCTTATAGAGTATGAATGAGATAGACGATACACCTTTAATGCTGGTTTGAACAGTTTTATACTGTGACTCAAAAATCTGATTATAGGCAGATGACTTAACTGTGGCACAGCAAATTCCTCTTTGCTTTTTACTGAGGTTAGATTATGGCACATGGAGATTGTATCTATATCTATATCTGGCACTTATACTGTGTATATCTGAATCTGCTTGAAATTCATGTTGTCGAAAACAAATGGTGGAGTAAAAATTCATTAATGTCACACTTCTTACATATTTCCCCATGGGAAACCCTCCTTTTAATACCTGTCTTTACGCTAATGATTTTATTGCAAAATCCTGTCTTTCTCTTTCTTGAATTTCACCAGAAAATTATTTCATATGACATAATGGACTAGACATAAGGGAACTAAACTAATTTAGTGGCCTCCGCAGTCTAGAGGTAACGTTCCCACCTCATGACTCGTAGTACGTGGGTTCAAATACCCGGTGGAGGTCGTCGAAATTTTAAGGGCGGAAAAATTCAGGGAACAAGTCCTCCGGGAGGGACTTTAAGCCGTGGGTCCTGTGTTATAGCTTTACGGCACATAAAAGAACCTCATACCTCCAAAGGAGGTCACTGAGCAAAATTGTGGATGTTTGTCGCCCAACAGCAGTCACTAATACCTCCGGTAGATGGGGGAAGCATTATAGATACTTCTCAGCCAGTAGAGCCGGTCTCGCTGGCTGGGCGGGACTGATGGTAAGCACCAATACCGGTAGATATAGAGGCTGGTAGAAATCATAGAGGGAAGCACAATGGACCACTACAGGTCTAAGTGCATGGGAAAACCCACCCTCTCTAATAACTAACTAACTAACTAAACTAATTTTGAAGATTTTGTTTCCTAAGTTATGTGACCATTCCCATACCACAGCGTGCTGAACTTGCTTTAGGTGTAATATAGTTAATATGTTCTTCCTTTTCCAGTTTTAAGTTACTGTCAATTTGAAGGTAAAGATATTTAACTGTTTCTACTTCTTCGGCTGTTTTATTATCATAGGGCTTAGTTTATATTAAAATAATACAACTTTTGGTGTTAACACAAAATTTCATGATATGTGATTTCTTAAAATTTAAGCTTTAAACCTTTTGTTCAAGCTAGCAGAGACATCATTCATAAAATTTTGAAAGTAGTCTATGAATATGAAATAATATTAACATTATCAACAAAGAGTCTTTGTTTAGACTGCAAACTAATGGCTGTTGGCAGATTGTTGATATACACAAGAAAAAGTAAAGGGCTAAGTACTGAACCTTGAGGAACTCTTTGTGATTTATAATGCTCCACTGTGAGTGTACTTCATAATCTGAATTTGCTGCATTTATTTCTATTTTTTGTTTCCTGTTATGGACATATGACTTAAACCACTGTCCAGTTATAACTTGATTTCCACAATTTGGTTTTGTAGTATATTTCATGCCTTACACAAGCAAATACTTGACAAAATCTCAAAATATTCCATCAACATGCATTTTTATTATTAAGAGCACGTAAGACTTCAACTGCAAAAGTGAATACGGCTTCATCAGCTAATTCTGCATAAGTACAAAGTAAACATCAGCAAAGATCCTCTTCAAGTTCCTGAGATCACATTCTCTCACAAATATTTTTGAGAATGTTCTTACTAATGATGCTGATCTGTAGTTGGATATAAAAGATTTGTAACCTTTCTACAATAGTGGCTCCACTTTCCAATATTCAAGTCATCCTGGAGAGCTCCTACTACCACTGATTGCAAAGATAACTTAAACGAGCACTGATGTAGTCTTTAAAGCTTCTGAGTAATCCTGTTGAGATTTCATCACAACTACACAATTCTGTTCACATTTCAGAGAATTTATTGTTTTTAAATTTATTTTCTATTGCTGTACATAAGATTCATATTTGGGGATGTTTTCAGCTAGGTACTTTGTTGCATCTTTCGTTGTTCTCGGCATGCACATAACTTAAAGGCAATAAAAAGTCATTCATCTTACCTTCCTGTATTCTGTGTGACGGCAGCCCCTGCTGTATCGAGAAGCGATTCAGACCCCCCTGACACACAGTTAGGTTGCTCGGCCATAGACGCTCTGCATGGAGTCAATCATGCCACAATCAAACTATTCCTGTCAACAAGAAGACATGAGCTGGTGTTCACATACTGAATAATTTCCTAGTAAGATGAATCATGTACCATGTGATTTATCTTGCCAATAATACAGTATCTTGCACTTAACAACTCCCTTATTCTATAAATAATTATGTCTCTAGTACATAGCATTATCTCCCAAAATTAAATGCAGGCCACCTACTATATTTTCATATCTATTTACTCAACATGTGTTCCTTGTAGCTTGTAGCTTACACTTTCATAACCAAGACCGACCGGGAAGTGATGCACAAAACGTAGGACTTAACCATATACAGCATATTCAACTTTTCCCACGGTAATAGGGGCCTTCTGTTTGGGTTCTAGCACTCTTATGACGATAAATAATCAAATGACGACATGATATGCAATCTATTTCTGTCCGCACTACACCGTCGTGCCAGCCAGTCAACAACATTCAATCGATTATAAGTCAAAGACACTTCGGCGCTATATTCCCAATCATTCAGCGTACATAAGTATTACAATTACTTCAAAACATATTATCTCTCAAATATGGTTTAAACTGCATACACAATATCGTCTTACAGGGGTATTTCTTTTGCCAAGCATACACGGACAAAAGGACTCACGAGCCACCATGATTATGAACTTGATCCTCGTTCTCCAAGGCCTCGAAAAAATCTACAAACTACTGCCTTGAGACAAATGCTTTGACGGCTAGGCACTACAAGCCTACCTCCATGCATGTTCCGAAATATCAAAGGAGATTTTTCCACATTAAAGTTGTCAAATGTAATGCAAAACTGTACCATTAGCTCGCTTATCATTGCTCACCCTCCAGCCAAACGCTTCAAAATCACACTGATCGTGAAAAGGTACTGGCAATGGAGCCGTGCTCCTCCAAATATAGTTCCATTATTAATTTTTATTACGAAATCAGGTGAAAGTTACAATACATTAAATGTGACGAATATTATTCATCAATTTTATTGTATATTTTACAGAAAGGACGAGTCCAATAATGTCCTGAAGGTTTTAAAATTACACTATTTCACAGCTGTTCACTCGCTATTAATACGCACCACACAACATGCTTCACAATTACTGCGATATCGATATATCGTCGATGTATATATATATATATATATATACACAAAAAGTTACCTACCATACTTTATGAAACAGAAATATGAAGGTTTTCAAAATACCAAAATAGTTTTAATAACTCTGCATAATGCGTCATAATAAGCCACACATACAATTGTCTGGCAACTATTTATTTCTTCAAACTTGCAAAAACAAAACAAATCGACAACTATATGGGTAATGATCGAAATATATCGATACCTATACTGTTAGCGGGAAACCTAAGCACCTTCATACAGTTCTGTAATGCGAATATTTTATATCTAGGAGTTTCAATTGAGAGGTTCTGTATATCGACCAACTACCTCAATTGTTTGTTATTAGTACATTAATTTTCGATTGCAGCACTCCAAATACTGGAGTCAGGTTATTTTACTTCTGTTAACTTTTTAATTTCAACTTGGAATATGCATTCAAAAAAAATCTTCGGGTTTTGCATACAGTGGCTGAAATAATCTTCTGTAGCTATCATTCGATAATTCCACTGCATGAAACTAAATATCATGCAGTCAATATGCACATGGATTCTAAATTTATTATCAGAGCTATGCAGAAGCACTCATTCACTCATCCATGACAAATGAAAATATATTCTTCCACAGATGTCAACTCCAAAATATTTTATGCATGGATTATGCAGCATATCTATGTAAATGTTGGTCTGGAAGTAGTGCTCTGGACTTTTGTTTCAAGACGTGCTCAGTTTGAATCTCAACTGTGGCATCAGCTATCCCGACAGGGCATTTTTTTTTTGTGGTTTTCTTCATTCCCTCCAGTCAATTGCCAGTACAACACCTCAACTGGAAGACGACCGTTTCCTTCAAAATCCATTCCTGAAGAGTTCTATCTCCTTTTAAAGTCAACTTAGATTTTGGAGGTATAATTAATTAACGTAACCTCCACCTTCTTGCCAAATTATCCATCCTGGTTAGTTGCTCGGCCTATTCTTTGACTCCGAACATGGAGGCAACATGTTCCTCTGAAATGTCAATTGACTTCCAACAGATTACACTTGGTCGTCGACTTACGACCGGCCGCCCTTATGACCACAAAAAAAATTAAAACTGAAAGATGATTAAAATGTAAAAGTTTAAAAAAATAAATTATAAAGATGATAAAAAGATGAGAAAGGTTAAAAAATACTGTTAATAAATATATGGTCGACAAACGACCTGTCAGTCAGAACGGAAGTCGGTCATAAGTCGACGAACAAGTGTATATGGCATTTTAATATTATCCTCTCATCTATAACTCAGTCTCACAAGTGGTCTCTTCACTTGAAATTTTGTGACTAAAATTTGGTGTGCAGTGCTAATCTTACTGATACATACTGTATGCCTTGACTGATAACCATAAAAATATTTTTGTAGTACAAATCTTGAAGCTCGCACATGTAATATCCTCCATCCAGCTGTAACTTTCAGATATTCTTCTTCCATTTTTGACAGACCATATCCTGCATCCATACAAAACAACAAGTAAAATTAAATTGGTATACCGTATTTTAATCTTTTGTTTCTTTCTTGGTAGGAGGCAAGATTCTGAACTGAATGGTATCAGTATTCCCTCAATTTAATTAACCTGCTCTTATTTTTTTCATGCATACAATTTGGTTTGTTAATGTCATTTCCACAAACATTTTACTGTGCTGTTTCACTTAATTATAATCCCTCCTGATTTTTCTTGGGTCTTCCTAGTGGCACATTTTACAGCAAAGTTGAAAAGAAAATGACAATAAAGCACATAGTTTTGGAGCAGTCTGAATAAGAACTACATTCGATGTTTCCTTATATGACCTCTACAGAAACTTTTTTAAAAACATTTCAACTAGTTTCGTGGGTATATTTAACCCAATGAGAATGCTGTACAGTAATTCTCTTGTAGCTGTGCAATAATGGAAGCAAAAACCTGAAATAAACTATTTCCAGTCCTTGAAATGGATTGTTATATTTGCCTCACTTCATTCCTGGCATACATACAGAGTTTATTTCAGATGAACAAATCTAGGTTACCTGAAATAAATCATAGCCATTCCCCTACATGCTGCAGTTGAGGAAGCTCAATCAGTAACTGATACAACATACATCCTTCAGTTGAACTGCACCTCTTACCTGTTACAATGGATGTAAAATTACAAATATAAATGTAAAATGTTCTATGCATGTCTCAGGCAATAGTTTACAGGATGCTACAGTTTATTTCACAGAACTTATTCAGCCTACAGTTAAAACAGTCATAAATTATAATGCAAAGTACATATTTTTTATGGTAATATTATCATGTTTTACACATCTTAAATAATTTTCCATAATTTTGTTTATTTGTAAGAAGAATTAATGTAAGGTACATCCTTTACCATTAACTATACATAAGTATTGTGTTTCTGTACATTGTCCATTGTCCTGCTTTTATTTAAAGTACAATGTTTTGGAGATCGATTCTGTCTCTGTCTTCAGGTGGAACCTACTCAGTTGGGCCCAGTCAATAGAGCTAGTCTTTATCTCTGCACACCAGCCCAACACAAGATAGGATATATAAACCATAACATAGCATAGCATAGCATAAACCATCTGTGAGAGTTAAGCCAAATATTAAGAACATAAAAAAATCCACACACAAGGCCTAGTACCTATGTCCATGCTGGTGTCCGGAGATAGGGACTAGCTCTATCAACTAGCCCCAACTGAGTAGGTTCCACTTGAAGGAGGAGACAGAATCCAGCCTCCAAGACGTTGTGTTTGAATAAAAACACAATGATGGATAATGTCCAGAAACACAATATTTGTGTTAAGATACCATCACAAACTTTCAGATCTCATAACAATTCTGACTTGCCATTTGACACAAAATATGCTCTACAGTTGATATAAAAAAGTAAAGCTCTCCCTGTAACAGGCCATGAAGGCCCATTGGGTTGTGAGACGATGAGGGTCCCACATTATCTAGACAATCGGCTCAAAGAAGGCGTTAAGGTTGTCAGCCTTATGCGCTGGCCGCGCTTTACTCCCCAAGAAAATTATTTATTTAATTCCTGATACTCATTTCTGTTAGAGGCTGAGCGAACCCCAGGGCCATAGTGTGGCCGGAAGGATTAGGTCAATTGAGAAAAATCCAATGATCTCATCGGTATTTGAACCCACGACCTTCCAACTTGTAGCATAGTGCCTCAACCACTATGCTACCACGTGCCCCCCTGCAGTTGATATACATCAGTCAATAATGTATGCACCAAGAACACTATAGTTCATTTCCTCAGCTTATGTTCTAGGTCAAATGTCAATGCATTCACCATACTGTTGCAGAATAATGGGCCCCAAGGATGGGCACTGTAAGGCTTTTATCAATTCTGACAGAATTCCACACTATTCATTTATATCTGCCTATAAATGACCTTCGCATAGGCACTGCTTCTAGGTCTTACAAGCAGCAAAGGGGGAACATTACAGAAAGTACAAAAATACAGTGAAATAGACTGTACTAAGAGACTGCAGTAGCCTTAACATACCATTTGTTGGACATAATGTAAGCAGTAAAAAAAGTTTGGAAAAGATTGGGGGAGAGAAACAATGTTGAAAACAAATTTCACAAGAAAGTACTAGGACAAAGTACAGAATATACTTATATTACATGATCACCAACTTGGGTATCAATACTGTTTTTACCTGCGTAATTAAGAATACTATAATGGAATATTTTACAACTCAGGTAAGGGAAACAAGAAATTTCTCTAGGGGAACTTCTTAAGAAACAGCTACTTGGGAGACTAAAATGAGAAATACTACTGAAACAGATCTTAAAAAATTGCTGTCAGATGTTGAACTGGACTCAAGTTGTATTAGGTCATTTCCGCTGCTGGTCCTGGGTATAAACAGTTGAACCTTGAGTTTTTAGCATCAGAGAATAAGCATCATTCATTGCAGATTTCAGTGGCTGTAGGTTAACAGCAAAGCCTGCACAACGCAAAGAGGAAGCACGAGGATAAATCAATATTCTGAGTGCTTCACAGTGATGACTGTTAAGATAATGGGGTCTTCTGGGTTGTGACACTGTGCAGGTTTGTATGCGTACATCGATGTTTCAGAGGAACATGCTGCATTCATCTTCAGGACTACGGTGTGTGGTATCAGAAATAGGCTTGGTTGCATGGGCAAGTTGCAAGAAAGGCAGTCATGAGGCATAAGCACAGGGGGTAAAGAAAGGGACCTGATCCAAGCCAATGGGAAGAAACTGATGGAAAACAGCCTTTATAAAGGAAATACTGGTTTAGCATCATAGGTGGGAAATGGAACAGTTGACAGGGAACAGATCTTGCTCGGCATTTGCTTTTTGTCTATTGCACTGTGTACCCTAATTCTGGAATGTGGCTTACAGAATTTACACCTTGTTGGTTACAGCTTATGATTCCGAGTACTTCGGTTTCCCCTGCCAATCTTCATTTCACCAAATTCTCCATCATCATAATCACCTGGGGCAGGCTACGATGGGCCAATCAGTGGCCGCTGTGCTGAGTGGACCCAGTTGGACTTCACGTCCCACTAAGTGAATTTAATTTAATTTTTTACAGCTTATGTTCATGTGCCTATTATACATTGCACTGAATTTTATTCAGAATTACTGGATTCTCATACCTTGTCCATTGTCCAGTATTCTAGAAGCTAGAAAATGCAACGTTTTGGAAATTGGATCTGTTTCCAGCCTCAGGTGCCTTAGAAGCAGCTAACCTCACAGGGGTTGTCCAGGGACCCAACAGAGTAGGTGTCTCCCCCCTTGCACCTGACGACAGAAATACATATAGTTTCTGAAATATTGTGTTTTCTAACTTCTAGAATATCGGACAATGGACAAAGTCTGAAAATCCAGTAATTCTGAGTGTTATACACCATGGTTAGAACCCTTTAGAATCTACTGCATTTTATGCTTGTGATAATAACAATTTGTAAGAAGTGATGTCTGACTTTGCCTGAGTGTATCCACAGGGCAAACTACAAATTTTTTAAAGCAATTTCTCTGCTTTATCTACAGATGAGTATCTGGGGAATGAAGATGGCACTACTGTGCTGAAGCATGTCATACATTTGTTAGATTTATAGGTAACTGTACATTCTAACTGTATACATGGTACTGTTGTTTAATTTGAATATATGTATTTTAAACTTTTTGTATATTGGAATACCAGTCAGAATGAGCAGTTCTCTGAATTCTACAGTTCTACATGTTCTCATTAAATTGATGATAGAATGTGTCCCCTAAGGAACACAGTTGCCATCATGAACAATGACTCTATGGAAAAAAATGTCTTTGATTTGCACCTTTCCATGTTTTGCCATGTTTTCCAGGAACACAATTAATTGACTAACTCACTCACTTTCTTGCAGCTGGGTCCTTCTTGAGAAGTTAACAGTTGATTGGCTACTCAAGAAATTCCCAGCATTTGATGGAGACTGAAGTTTCATTAACATGTTCACAACAGCATGCCACTGGTCCCTATCATGAGGCAGTCTACACACTGCCGTCCTATTTCTTTAAGTTCTGTTTAACTACTACTAAATCTTCCTACAGGTCTCCTTCCTTCAGGTTCTCCTACAGAAACCTCTCTATATGGCCTGCCCACCCCAACCTCTTTGCGTTCATCATTGTTATAATATGTGGCAAGAAGTATAGATCATGAAGCTCCTCATTATGAAATTTCTCAACTCTCCTGTTACTTTCTCCCTCTCACTGCAAATATTTTTGCCAGCTCCTTGTTCTCAGTCACCCCCTTAATGTGAGAGGCCAGGAACAGAAGTGGGGTACAACTGTACACCTGTCATCAGGAACTTGCAGTACCATACAGAAGGTGCTTCAGGCTCTCCTCATTGATAGTTTGGAGAGGTCTGGTGCCATGTTCTTCACATTGAGTTGTTTTGGTACTGCTTGCAGAAGACTCACTCGAACTGCTGTCAGTTCTTTTCTCTTGGTTTGTTTGCACTACCATATCAGAAGAGCTGAGGAGATAATGATACATGACATCATCTTCATAACCAAGCAATGTATCAACAGGGGAAGACAGTGTCAGGTGCTTCAACTTTTCAGAAGGCGATGGTAATCTTTTCACAGATGGTGATGTTACCATAGTAAAGAAGTCAGTTGTTTCTACAGCTAAGTCTGAATTTTCAATTTCCTTATATATTTTGTCAGAAGACTTCCAAAAGTTAGCTGAACTGCAAGTGGAAATTTCAAGTTCATCCTTTGCTGAAATATGGAACTCACTGGCTTCCAGAAATACTGAATCCTGAGCCAATTTCTTTCCAGTGCTCAACATATTATTCTTGTTACTGGTCTTTTTAAAAGAGAGTTCTTCTTGTGAACTTTCAGCATTCAGTGAACTCACTTTTACATTGCAATCTGTTGTATTTCTCATATTACCAACATTCAAATTAATACCATCATCCTGTACCATATATGCACCTTCTTGGATTTCTTGCTTGTCCTTTAAGTCTGCTGTTGCCATAGTAACTTCTACAACTGCTGGTTTTTTGGAGCTCTGTATGTTTATTTTGTTGTTCAATACTTCAATTCCTTCCCTCATCTTCTGTGTATCACTTTTTTGTTCCATTTCTGAGTTTTCACCGGAGACAGAACACATCACATGTGTATTCAAGGATGGTGCATCATATACATCATTTGATGCCAGCAGTATCTGACCTGGTGGGAACACTGATGAAACTTCACTGCCAACAATTATTGTGAACTGACTGTTGTTAAACTGTTGGTGCTGATTCTCCTGCTGCGGAACTGGGAAGTGATGTGAGTCACCTGATATTTTCTGGGCTGTTAGTCGCTGCTTCATTTCAACAGTTTCACCACTGTCACCACTGCTGAGACTCATATGAGTAGCAGGCATCTGGAAAAAATGATAGTCATACACAATAAAATGGTTTTTACACTAACAAACATGCAAAAACCACTGCAGAGTTTACATAACACACTGGCTTCACATAACAGAGAACTAGGTTTATTAATTTTTTTTATTTATGGTTTATTTAATGATGTTGCAAGTACCTCAAACTATATAGCGTCAAATAATTGGTGAATAATGAATAGGGAAGGATGTGGAAGGAAGTGGTAATGGCTCACTTTAAGGTTCTATCTTGGAATTTGCTTGGAGAATATGAGGAAAATAATGACAAATCTCAGTCATGACAGTTGATGTCCTGGCCAAGATTCAAACCAGGCACTTCCTGAACACAACACAGAAGTGCATGTTGTTAATCACAGGATAGTCCAAGTAGCAATTGCATTCAGACAGATTTGCCTCAAAGTAGTTCAGTTTACTCTGATGTTCAGAAATCATCTATCGTCCCCAAAATATGTAACCTCAATCATCAGGTTAAATCTTGAATTTGAGGCCTTACTGTACCTGTGAGCTGGCTGGTGCTGCTCTCTGTTGGACTCCCTGCAGCAACTTTTGCACCAGGTCACCTGACTGCCTTACAATTGTGCCTGGAGGTTGTGACAGACATTTGTGTGTCCGCTGACTCACCTATGGGTCCATACAGTACAGAAAATTACGCGTCCATACTGATTTTCTATCATATATTTCTTACTATTACACACTGTCACATGATGAGTAACTACAGACTACCAGTTCTTCTATTGTTGTGTCTGTGTAGTTGCAGCCATCATGTGGCAGCTACTGGGCCACTGCCTAGCAACAGGAGTGTCTGCAAAGCTGTTCACTAGCAACGGCTGTCCCTGCTGGTTTCACAATTCTAGCTTTAAGTAGACAAGCCACTATATACATGTATTACATTCCACGGATCCAAAGTTAGTAAAAAATGACTGCAGAATGTGGAATAAGTCATAAAAACACAAAACTTTCATATACAGTACAAGTGAAGTTATCACATAAAGAATACACAGATGTCTGCATATGGTATTCAACTGTTTTAGATTTGTACGTGTACATAGTATATACAATCAATACTGTCCACTTATGCAACTTACATGGGTGGTCTGACAATAAAGTTCGCGAACTCATTGCAGTAAAAGTGCTATATACCTCATTGCTGAATATCACTGTGGTCACCTTCAAAGTACTGCCCTTTGGAAGCTATGCACCGATGCCAGAACCTAGTCCACCCTTTGAAACAATTTTGGAACTGGTTTTGTGGAATGGCCTTCAGAGCTGTTGTCATATTACTCCTGTTGTCACCAAAATGCCTTCCTTTCAATATTTCCTTTATCTCTGGGAAAAGAATAGATTCATGGGGGGCTATATCTGGTAAGCGGGGAGGGTATTCCAGCACAGTTATTTCTTTACTAGCTAAAAATTCCTTCACAGAGTGTGTTCTTCAGAGAGCTCCTTTGGGACTATTTTTGCACCCACCTCCCTCATGCCAAGATCTTCAGTTAAGATTTTCATGTTTCTCTGTAGACGTTCACTTGTTCTGCTATGCTCCCAACAGTGACGTGACTATCTCCACGCACAATTTGACGAACTTTTGCAATGTTTTTTTCAGTTCTGCTCATTGCTGGCCGTCCTGACTTCTCTTCATCAGTGACTCTTTTTCTTCCCTCAGAATAATATGTCACCCACTTGTAAACTGCTGCTTTCTTCATAGCAGTATCCCTGTAAACTTGCACTAATCTCTCTGATTTCGCTTCCACTCTTGCCAAGTTTAGCAGGAAATTTAATGTTCCTTCATTGCTCAAATTCAAACTCTGACATTATTGTGACGGCACACCAAAACACACTCAGACAATAGACACCATTCAGAAAGAGACTGCCATAGATCAACAACAACAACAACAACAACAACACAGCTGTGAAATGCTGATACGCCAATGTCATCAAACCATATTGAGGTTTCTGTCCACTGCTGCCATGGCAAGCACAGGTGGCGAGTTCGTGAACTTTATTGTCAGATCTCATAAACCTTTAAAAAGATAACTTTAGATAACAGGTATTCATCAGGAGATCAGAATGAGCGTGTAAGCAATGCCTTTTCATTCATAGAACTTTTGGGCCAAGATGGTTAATTCATGAAAACCTTATTCCAGCATAGTTAAGATTTTGAAAGTCATGCAATTTTAAAAAGCAATTAAAATTCTACAGAAAACTCACACCATAAATCATTATACATTATTTTTTTTGGAGTGCTTGAAAGAATCTAAACAACCGTTGTCAGAAAATCTCAACGAAAGACATATGGTTGGAAAATTTCACCAAAACAGACCATACAAACCTGTGGTTAAATTATCAGTCAAAGAGATTGCTTTGCAGGGGAGTTTTAATAAGAAAACTGTGGGAATGTGAGATGAATTCACAGACCTTAGCATATGTTCCAACGATGTGCTTTTGTAATGACAGTGACAAACCTCTGGGTGCCATAACAAGTAATTTCTTGAATCCTTGGTTCCTAGCTATGAAACTAAGCATCAAATGCCAGAAGATCATAACTTCATTTCTTGAACAGTGTGGAACTCACTAAATGCTCAGAGAATTCTCTGCACCAAGGCACCAGTCAGTAATTAATATACGAGAATTTCTGGGAAGAACTGATCGCCTACTTCCCTTTCACTACAAATTGAGAATTTGATACATCATCATCACCATTGGCACGACAGCCCTTTGTGAGCCCTGGCCTTCCTCAGGATTGCTCGCCATTCTTCTCCATTCGATGCTACATTCCTCCACTTCTTTACACCCAAAATTCTTATGTCCTGCCACACACACATTCTTCCCATCTCAATCTTGGTCTTCCCACTTTCCTATTTCCTTTTGGTTTAGTATTAAGTATTTTCTTAATCATTCTATTCTTGCTGGCACATATTATGTGTCCAGTCCATTCAAACCTTTTCACCTTTATAAATCCAATAATGTCTGGTTCATTAAATAGTTTGTATAGCTCATGGTTATACCTCTTCCTTCATATTCCATTTTCTTCCACTGGTCCAAAGATATATCTCAGGATCCTCCTTTCAAATATACTGAACAGTCTTTCATTTTGATACAACACGCGAGAGTAAAACTTTATGGCCCGTATAAGTAAGTCAATAAAACAATAATATAAGCAGATGATTTTTACAGAACCTGAATGCACTAGAGTAATTTAAAGTGATAAAGTTGTTGCCAGAGCCTTGTCAGTGAGAATGGGGTGCATCACAGGAAGGCGAGGATGGCAATAAGACAGGAAAAGCTTTGTGAGAGAGGCTGCGGTATTGGCATTACTGCTGAGATGGCCTCAGAAAGCATGACATACATACCAACATTGATAGCAATCAGTGCAGGCATTAAAATAATATTTAGGTAATTACCTCAACAATTTGATAGGCTGTAATATTAGTATTACTGATGGGGGATATCTATGAAGAATGCTGATGAGACGGATACATGTGATGTGATATGCATACCAAGTTTCATGAAGATTGGTACAGGCGTTCAAGCAGTATTAAGGTTATGGCTCAGTGATTTGGGAGGCTGTACTGTTGGTAATACTGCTGGGGAGGATTTGTGAAGTACTACATCAGTTCAAGTAATACTGCAGTTACTACTGCAATTATTTAACCTTTAAAGTCCAACTTTGAAATGGTGGTAGCTTGAGCTAGCCAGACTTTATTTGGTGCACGTTTAAATGCCTGACTGCCCAAATCGAGGTGCTTTGGCCACGACAACCATACTTATCACTGGCCCGCTCGCGGCACTTCGGTCATTAAAGGTTAAGAGGACATGACGTTTGTATTACTGATGGGAGGGACTTATGAAGTATGCCTTCAGATGGCTTCATGTGGCATGATATGCAAACCAAGTTTCAAGTAATGTTAAGGTTTCACCTCAGCAATTTCATAAGCTGTTATGCTGGCATTCCTGATGGGAGGAATTTATGAAGTACACCGCTGGCATGGGCTCAGGTGCCATGAAATACATGTTTCATGAAGACTGGTTCAGGCATTCAAAAGTTGATGGGGGTGGGATACACATACAGAGAGGCAGACAGCAAGGGGATCTCATAAGCATACTTCTATTTTTTAATATAACCAAAGTGGGCTAAAGTTTTGCATTATTATTAAAGGAATTTTTCTGTGAACACAGTTTTCCTCAAATCTAAGATATCATTTTTTTTTTACTCCAGAGCTCTCGAATTTAACATTCTTCATTCACGAGGTTTCTTCTTTGCGTGCTGTCCCTAATACCATCCTTCCACATGCTGACTGGTCTGCCCCACATTCTCTTCCCCCTGTGGGTTCCATTCTTGCAACCTCTCTAGCAATTCTGCAGTCTTCCAATTGCATGACGTGTTCCATACCATCTTAATTGCTGTTCTTCTATTTTCTGTAATATGTCTTTCTTCATTCCCATTTATGTTCTAATTGTTTCATTTCTAACTCTATTAATTCATGATATTCTTGCCAAACACCTTAGATAATCCATTTCTGTAGCTCATAATTTAGGTTTGTGTTTCCATTTTGCTGACCACGTTCTAGCTCCATACCCTTTTCAACACATCCTTTATCTACTGTCTTATGATTCAGCATTACATAGTACAGCTATTGTAAAATAACCCACCAAAAAGAAAGAAGAAACCTTTGATGGCAAGGTAGTTGTAGTTCTTGTAATATAAAACATGACAGCACATCTAATGTGTTAGGTGGTATGGGAGCTGAGTCAGAATTAGATATAACCACATAAGAAGTCAAAACACTTAAGCTACACCCACACACTCAAAAACCCTCCTACACTAGTGATTTCAGTCCTTTTCTGTACCTTATATCGGAAGCTTTTGCCACATGCTGTGCACTGATAAGGCATGGCACCTGTATGGATCCTTCGATGAACCAGATATGACACTCTCTGTCGGAAACACTTCCCTGAAACCATAACACGTAAACTGTTCTCACTGCCTTATATTAACATGTGTTAAAACAAATCTTTGTACATAATCAGTGTCTGGGGTTTGCTGAAATGAAACCAGTTTGGGGACTGTTCTGGGCAAAGATGTAGTGGTAACCAAACTAACAAACTCTACCCTTTTAATTGTCAATACTTTTCTCTTACAAAAAAAAAAAACCTGTCTCTAGTTCATAATTCTCATTCCTATTTCCACAGAAAAATGTATAGTCACCTATTATAAAACAATTGATAACACCATCCAGTGTGATTCAATTTGTACATATTTATTGCCTTTACATGTTTTGGTCAGCTGTGACCATCTTCAGAAGGTATAAGATCAACATGTTTAGGAACTAATTTTAAAAGTTCGTAATACATATACAGAAGCTACTATATAAAAAATTACTTTAAATTATTTAGAATAAAAATCTTATTAATGTCTAATATTTAAGATCTTGAACCGATATAATTTGTGTCCTTGTGACTCTTATGTTGAAATGGAAAGTTGGGGTATTGTTTTCCATCCTCAGAGGTCCATGCAATGATGCCTTTTTCATAGCTCATTAAGATTCTGTGTTGTTGTGATGTCTAAGTTGTTTCCCCCTTGGCTGTCTTCTGAAGCTTTGTAACAGTAGTTCCTAAATATGCTGACCATATGCCTTCTGATGATGGTCACAGTTGATTGCTACATGTAAAGGCAATAAATATCTACAAATTCAATCAAACTGGATGTTGTTATCAATTATTTTATAATAGTTTACTAGTGTGACGGGCCAGAATGAACAAAGTTAAGTGTATAGTCATCTGCTGGTTCAGAGCCACCCCGTCTCATCTGACCACCTGTACTCCTACTAACTTATAATTCGCTGTTTCTACTGCATCTGTTTTCAGTGAACTTGCCCCATACAGACTCCTTACATTCCATGTGCCATATATCATGTCCACTTTCCTTTGCTCACATCATTCCAAAGAATAAGTCCAAGGCCCTGTGTAACATTCTGTAACAAACTGTTTTTTTTTAAGGTCAGGAGTTGTTAGCCCCATGGCCAACCCCTAAGTTGGAGGACCACCCTCTCTTGCCTGTATGTGACTGTTCAATCAATATATTTGCAGCAACATTCTACATCTGGATGCCCTTAACATGGGCCACAATACACAAAATTAAATAAATATAGAACAAGATCTTTATGGAGAACTCTCCCCTGAACTTGTATACACTTTCTACAGGAAACATACAAACAGATATAATGGAAATAATAAACAAGCATGAAGCCCATTTTATGCTCCTGCTGTGTATGTGAAAAACTTACCATCTGATGAGTATCTTTTGTTAGTGGATTAACAACACATGATAGATTACTGGTTTATATATGCGCCACTTCTTTTACTTCACAACATCAAACATTATTTGTTAAGATACTAATATGGCTGCAGTTGCATCTGAAAACAAACATGCATTGGAGCTAAATTCTAAATTTACAGTGTTCACTGTGTAAAATCACTACATTTTTTACAAGATATGGTTGAACCCATGCCAATATATTTTTCTTAGTAAAATGGCTCACTGTTACCAACTGACAAATACACAATTAGTTTACACTAGGGTGCCCATTTTCCGAACTAATATTTCTAGAACACTTTAAAGATACACAGAAAACATAATTTGTGTAAAATTTTATGTTATAACAATTATTTGGGAAAGCAACTTCAACAAGATGAGAGAGCAATTGTTACAGACTGAAAAGTACTCTTTCAGTACTCAACTGGATAAACTGAGGAAAATTCTGACACCCTTACTAAAAATGAGTGACTTTCCTAACAAGTGCATATTAGAAACTTTTAATAATTTGTTAACATTTAAAATACAGGACAACAGACAAGCTTGCAAAAGTTATGAGGACTGCAGGGTGTCACTCTTGGGCTGGTTTGTAAATTCCAGGATGACTGGCCCCTGGAGTCTACAAACAAGCTTCAAGGAGAGCTAAGTACTTATGTATCATTAAAAACAAAACTGCGTTCAAAAAATTAAAATATAAAACGTAAATTCATATTTCAGAATGTGCAGGACTAAAATACTTATGAAAAGCAGCAACAAACAAGTAAATGAGGAAGGATTTAAATCTACAATGAATTTAAAGGGCAGAACAAACACAAGAACGTATTATTCACATTCTCATTGCTTCCCACGACATTAAAATAAATCCATAGTGTTTCTCATTGTTTCCTGAAATTGTATACTTAGTTTCTCAGTCCAGCAAAACAACAGAGACTCGCAGCATCTAAAAACAAAGCACCTGCAGTTTTGTGAGTGCTGAGATCTGACCTACACAGTGCTGCCAGCCGGTGGCATGGCTATAGCAATGGCCTCTGGGCATCAGATAATAACTGGTGAGAACAACACAAGCTGTGCAATTCACTGTATGCAATGCCATGGCTCACTGGCAGGCCTAATGTCTTTCAACGCAGTTCTACATGTTCAACAATATTTCACAGAGTGTGACAACTGCGGTTAGGTTTTGTCATCTCACGGGCCTACACTGCTGATTCTGTGATAAACTGCTCCTGCCACATTGGTTTTCTTATTTTTTATATTCATTAAATACTGTAAAAAAGTAAAGCTATCCAAGTAACAGGTTCTGGAGGTCCATAGCGTTGTGAGATGTCAAGGCTCCCACATTTTCTAGACAATCAGCTCACAGATGGCAGTGGGGTAGTTTTTCAAAACAGCCATTTTCTTTAGCATACTTTCCTACTTTTAAAAAATAAAAGGAGGCTTATGAGATCATGCCATCTGTGTTGTATTAAAGGAAAGCAGGCAATCAGTTCTTCACAGAACTTCCTGTAATCTTAATATGTTATTCAGTGGTGTCCAGCAGGCTGGGTCTGTTTTGGTACAACCTACTCTTAAAAACTTGGTAAACTGCAGAACCAAGCTGTCTAATGGCAGAATGTATTAGAACAATGATATTAGATTATTAAACAGACAAAACACTGAGACACATGATGAATGTTCTAGCATATTGGTTCTCCTATACAGAAACAACTGTGAAAGGCTGTGTGAGGTCAATCCTTCCACAGAAATGATGGGACCTACTGAGAACAGGCACTGGTGTCCTAAGGACACAGGAGTTTACATTCTGTCTGTGCTTCACATCTGTTAATTAGGCTGACTGAACTGAGCAAGTTGGCTCAAGCACAAATGATTCTAACTTGTATTTGGAACGTTCCTGTTTTGAATCTTAGACAGGACACACTACCCTTATGATTTTTGTTGTTTTATTTAGTCCCTTCAGGCACTGGTTAGAACTGAGACTTAAATTAGGCATGGCCACTTCCTTCTACATACTTTCCAATTCATTATTGCCTGCAATCAAATTTCACAATGCTATATGGTCTAAGTTACTGACGGCATCATTAAATGATGAACCAGAACACAAAAAATTACCTACTGACTGAATGATTATGGCAGATCATTACAATGACTAAGCAATCTTCTGCAGCTGCTTGGGCTGCAGGAAATCTGCACTGTTAACATACGGTCAGCAATGCCTAAAAACATTTCCACTCACATGCTGCTAACTAACCATGGTTCTTTAACAAGGCCTGAGAAACTTTCAAATTAGAAAAGAATTAAGATTTCTGAACCAACACAAAGTGTTTAACATGAAAGCTGTCATGATGCAGATGGTTGGTGTCTACAGGCTTAACACCACCTGAATTCAAAATATGAGTCTCATATTGCTGCTTGCTGAGTGCATGTGTCCAGTACCAATTCACTGCAGAGCTGCCTAGTGGGTGAATAATTTGATCCAAGTCATCTAGCTATAAACCCTACTGCAGCCATTAAGACCTCCCTTGAACTGTCACAATCTCACTCCAGCATACTTTCCTATGTGCCCCTCTATGTGCCTATCCAGTCTGTTAACATGAACATTGCCAGAAATGAGCGCTTTAGGGTCATTAACATAGGCCAAAGGGGCCTGAACAGGGAATACAAGAGCAGTCAGAAAGTGGCAAGCTGTCAGCGCCATCATCCTCAATAGTCATCAATAATCTAATGACTCAAGTCACTGAATGTCTAAGAGATCTGACACCCAACCTGTCTACAGGGAATCACACGTGAATTCATTCAAATGAGTGATTCTATGCAGTGAACCCACTGCCCAGGGTATGAGGTATATAGTGACATCTCCTTGTACCATGGACTCAAATGAAATTCCCTTCTATACTCTGACAATAAGCACAGGCACTCATTTTGCAAGACTGCTCTGTGCTAACATCTAAAGTAAGAAAAGAATGAGCTACATAACCAAGAGTATAACTGGATGAAAATCTATTGCCACAGACGTGTGATGCGAATTATGAGCCATGCTCTCCACTAGCCTCCGTTCATGTTTCCACACTGCCTGCTCCCTGGGTCTAGTTTACTGAACTTATTATCTAAAAGGGACTCAATTCCCTTCTCTGTACACTAACTCAATTGAGTTTAAACAGTCAACAGACCTGTTCTTCACAACTTTAATTTAGCTAAGCACAATCAGTGCTGAAAGCCATTTCCCACAAATATATTGTAACATGGATGGCCAGAGCAATGTTAGGTAGCAGACTGATAGGCACTCTGTGATGCATGCGCACAACAATGGAACAACGGGTTATAAAACCCGCTTCTATGCAACGGCTCGGTAAACAGACTTCTGCACAGGCGCAATGATGTCACACTGCAACAGTATTAGGTATCACATCACTTGTTTTCTGTGTTGTCCATGTGGTGCGTATATAATGTATAGCAGTTTAAGGTTAAGTCCGTGGAATGTCCATGAGGGTTCAACAGTTGAGAGTACAAGGGTGAGAATGGAGCATGAATTGTGAAGATTGAGTATAGATTAGGACAGGGGAGTACAGAGTGACTGAAGACAAGAAGACTTAATAGTGATTTGAAGTGACAATTTCTGTATTGAGATCTGTTGCTAAGAGATGACTACTGGAAGAAGAAAATCCTAGTGTGTGTGTAACTGTGTATATTAGTGATAGTGCTGTACTGCATGTATTCAAGTGTGATTCAGAGTGTGTGTAACCAAAGTGCTAATAAATCCAATTATCTGTGCTCTGACCTGTCATTTTGTCACACCTACCACCCTACATGTGACAGTATGTAATCTCCACGTCCCACTTTTCTCTCATCATCACATACAATTCTTTGATTTCCATTCATGGCATGACTTGCGATTGTGATGTAAAGAGGTGCTGGTGATGATGACGCTGCTGATATGTTCACTTTTAGGAACCAGAATAGGCAGCAGATACGCCAGTTTTGAGATGCTACCTGACTTGGGGACTAGCAATCCTTCCTGAAATGTTCATGGTTTTCTCAGCCCTTCCAGGAAAACACAAGGCCACTCCCAATTCATTATTCACTAATCACACTACTGTCTGGCATCATACAATTTGGGCTGTTCAAATGTTGTTAAATCACACATAAATAAATATTTTAGGCACTATCTGAGATATTCCTGAAGAAACCAAGAAAAATGATGATAAATCTGTCAGAGCAGCCAGTCTTGTGGATAGCATGTCAGTTCTCCTGAACACTGGTGTCACAAAATCATGGAAAGTAAAATTATGAGAAGCAAACAAAACACCAGAAACAACACTATTCTGCCTACACAAATATTTTTAAGTGTAAAGAAAAAGAAGTAGTTTGCAGTTCACCAGCAGTCAGATGCCTCAGAGAGTACTTCATTTGAAACAATTACTTTTCAGATGGCCTGTCTACAACTCAGACACAATCTCCTAACACATTTGGTTTCTTCAATCCAAACCCTGACCCCCATTTCAATGAGCAATTGCAAACAAAAGTATGAATGCTGAAGTGAGGAAACATTTCCCTGTATGTCCCTATGCACAATGCCATCAAGCAATACAGGGCCACAGAAGCAACACATTCTAAACTTCAATATGGAATTATAAGCAGTTTCAACTTTATCTCCGGAGAAAGAATACCTATGGAAAGAAAGAAATAACTCAAGTGGACAGGAAATAGAGCGGACCTCACAGTTCATCTCTACATGCGGTAAAGAAAAAATTATTTGCCCTGCTGGAATTTGAACCACAGTCATTCAGGGAGGAGCCATAATTATCACATATGAGATTTGAGGTTCTAACAGCAGTGAATGCCAAGACCACAGCCTTCTGGGATGAGATGCTATGTAGTCTGGTAGTTGTTACCAACATTCTGGATAAACCTGGTGTCTCCAACTTCCATCCTGAAGACAGAGACAGCAAGCTCCTCAAGAATATGGTAGCCAGCTACCAAACTATGTGACATCACACCCCACAGGACTTAATGAACAGTCTTAGTGAACTATTCCAGTTAACACGATTTGGAATGTTACATGCAGAGTACAAAACAAATGCTATACACAGCACACTGTAGGTACCACAGGGAGTTCACATTTACACTGAGATCTCGTTACATAATTCTACTGGATGAATAAATTTAAAAACTTCTGCATTTCTCTCTATGGTATTTATATCTTCCCTCAATGAATGAACGTCATCAGCATAGAGCAGAAGCTCACATGTCCCATTTAATTTCAGTCCAACCTGGTTTACTTTGGCCTTACTAATGGCATATTCTAAGCAGAGATGGAAAATAATGGTGATGAGTTTTGAAGTTAATACTATCAAATACTGGAGTGGAACTCATGCTTACACAAACATGCCTATTTGCAGCATGAAACAATTACAACATGGTGAGCATGAAAGGCTCCTAATTTTATCCTTTAAAATATTATTCAATTCATGCATATAGGTAATGTTATTCCACAGAAATTTCAAGTACGAATAGCACTACTCACCACATGTCTCACATGCAAAGGGTTTTTCCCCTGTATGAATGCGCTGATGATTGTGTAATGTGGAGAGTTCTTTAAAGGCTCGATCACATTCCGTGCATACATGTGGCTTGTCATCACTGTGGTATAACAGATGCTTGTGGTAGGACTGCTGGAATGTAAAGGTTTTACCACAAGTGTCACAACTATATGGCGTCTCGCCAGTGTGAAGACGCTTATGTTTCTTGAGGAAGTACTTGGTGGTGAACAGCTTGGAACACACATCACACTCCCACTGCTTGCTTTCATGTGTCTTTAGGTGCTGTTGCAGATGCTGCTCCTGGAATGTCATTACATTTCACAGCACTGAAAAATTACTCCTTCTTCATCGACACAAACTGGAGCCAATGAATTATTCTGTTACATCAAGTCCAATGCATGAGCACACTGACAGGTAGAAAACTACTGTGTCTTATGTTGGGTTTGGGGTTAACTATGGCATGTGACAACATGTAGCCCAGTACAAATTCACCAACATTTTGGAGGAATGTACTGCCTCTACCTTCAGCGATGAACATATGACAAGCACACAATGAGCAGCAACTGCTGTTTGCTTCTTGATTGTTTAGCATATCTGCAGTCCAGAAGTTGCAGGCAGTAAATTTCTCTCAAAAATTCATCGGATTCTGTGAGATTACATGAGACCACATTCCAGAAGTTACTGTGTCTCACTGTTTGAATAAACTGCTGCTGTAAGTTTCATTACACATACACTTCTCATGGAGACTGAACAATTCATAAAACATACAAACATAGAAAACCGCATTAGTCCAAATCCAATAAAGTCGATACTCCTCAACTCAGTCACCTCCAGTCAGAAACTGCAGTAAAGAGGAAATATGTTACCTTAAGTTAAATTGTTACTGAGAAAACAGGTTCCACCATCTGTTGCTAAGACTGTAGAAGACTTTGGCACAGCAAAACAAATTGACATTAAACAAAATAAAAACCATTTAATCCCACCAATGCTAACAGCTAGTTCAATGCCCCACCCTCCCAACGATACCCTCAGAGGATTGAGGTTTCTGCATACTATGTAAATACACCACTGAATGACTTCAAATTTGTAACAACTTCTGGCACCAATTTAGCAGCTTACTTCACATTAAACAATTTATACAGAGTTGACCAGAGTTCCTTTGTCTTTTCGGTGGTTTATTTTACAATGCTGTCAGCATCTAGAGCACACAGAATCAGATGGTAGGATGGCTGATGCACTGGATAGGATTTGGATGCAGCAATCTTGGCCTAATCTTGGTACTATCCCAGCATTTGCCTGGAAAACCATGAATACCTCACTCAGGATAGCCAGTGTCCCAGCTGACTGAAACCAAGCACTCCCAAACACAAGATGAGACAAACCTATTGAGTATGCAAAGTAATAAATCAATTATACAAATTAGTGAGCAATTTCCACTAGCACAAAATCCAACGATGTCATAATTGCACTATTTAACATCAAGTTTCGCACCACTGCCATATGAACAATCTTTCTGAAACAAAACAGTTCTTCATACAAAATCTGAAACTATCTTAATGATCTAACTCCTAATGCCCAGCTTCAATTGCTTATTTAGTCCTTAATATGGAAGAAAAAATTAAATGTAGAGGTCATGAAGACATCTTGTAATTCCTAACTGTATAAACACTGATCTTACTTGAAGTTACATAACAAACCATACAAAATTTCAGGATCTCACTTTGAAATGTGTGACTACAACTCCCACTTCAGAAGTTCATACAACAGTCACACTAATCACAACAAATTAGACAGTAGGACAGCGGGGTGGCTTCCTGTGTCCTCACATTCATATGAAGGTTAAGACATGAAGTTGCTGTATAAGCATCATGATTGCAATATGAAATACACAAACATAGCAGGGTTTTCCTATCTAAAACTGTGTAAGCACTCACAAAGGCAAGTCTCCTAAGGAGTCTCTTTCCACTGGATTTTCCAACTAAAACAATTAAGTGCATTTATCACTCTCATGCATGCTACACACTCCTTCATTTACCTTTGCTACAATATGTGATAAAGAGTCAAAGATATGAAGCTTCTCAATATGCAATTTTCTCTATTCTTCTGTTACGTCCCTCCCCCTTAGGCCCAAATATTCTCCTCAGCACCATATTCTCAAATGGCCTTACTCATACAAATGGTTGCTTTTGAAACAGCTTCCTTAGCAAAATTCAATATTCACTTCCTGTTTTATAATTCCAATTTGATGTCTAGTCCTTTATAATCTCCTTCCATCAATTACCCCAACAATAAAAAATTACATGCATAAATCACAAATCTGTTACACAATTTCCCCCTGTCCCAGGTAAGTCTACCTACCACAAAATTTTTAAATTCTCATTTGTATGTGTTCTTCAGGATAAAATACTGTAGCCTCCAACCATACAAAGTAACGGACAAAATTATCTCCTTTATGAAGTAAGCACAGAACCACAGAAGCTGCTTTTGGGTAAGAAAGAAGTAGGCTGCTGGAAAGAACAGCGTTACCTTCTTAAAGGATTTGGAGCACATGTGGCAGCTGAACTTCCTCTCCTCTGAATGGCTGTCAAGATCCAGTCTCTTGACGAATAATTTTCCTACCATGGAAATAAATTACAAAGATTACACAGCACTCATTGCAATTGCATTATTCTTATCATTCATACATTATCAATGACGAACTATCCAAAGACCTTGTTACAACAGTTTTAAGCTTATATGTACCCATTAATACTGTCACAGGTTAGTGATTATACATGGAGTTTGGATTGATAATTGGATTTCTTGAATACTTATAAATTGTAACTACATATACAGTAGAACTTGGTTATAACGTCATCAAAGGGACCTAAAAATAGTGTCGTTATAAACGAATGTCGTTGTAACCGAAATGGGCACTTCCACAGTAGCCTTATGTTAGTCACGTAAAAATCTACCAAAAACCGAGTTAAAATGTTGCATTTTTTAGTGAAATACGTAGTTAAGTACAGACTAACGTAACATTTACGTGGAATTGCCCAAATGTGTAATATCAAAGACATATTACAGCGCTTTTCACTGACAATACACACAATATTTCACGAATCACTTTAACTTTCTCTTCAANAGGACAGTCACGTCAACAAGTAGAGAAAGTGAGGGTGGGCAGACACATCGAACTTTCCCACGATATCAGAGAAATTCAGGAATGAAAATGACGTTACATACGAGGTTGATGCATTTGTGCATGTCGTACTAAGCAAGGTATAAAAACAGTTGCTTTATGAGGAATTAGTTCGTACCATTGAATATTTGACGCAATAGACAAGGTGTCGCAGAAACCGATGTTGCTATAACCAAGTTTTACTGTAATTATATTGCTCTAGCTAATTCATGCACGTCACTTCTCACTACAGCACACATTATGTCTTCTCAGTTTATTTTCACTAGCTGTTGCTGGGCTGTGGCTCAGGTGGCATGACATACCCATCATGTTTCATGAAGATTGGTACAGGTGTTCAAGTAATATTAAAGTTATCACCTCAACAATTTCAGAGGTTACAGTGTGTGTATTACTGACAATATGGATTTATGATCCATGGCCATGAGGTGGCCTCAGTTGGCATGATGTATATACCAAGTTTCATGAAGATTATATAATATTAAGGTTATTACCTCAACAATTTCAAAGGCTGTAGTGTTGGAATTACTCATGGGAGGAGTTTATGAAGTACACCATTGATATGGTGGTATGATATACATACCAAGTTTCAGAAACACTGTTTCTGATATTCAAAATTTTCTGGGGAGGGGAACAGCAAGGTGATCCCATAAGCCTACTTATGTTTTTCAAAATACAATACAATACAATGCTAAAACAATAAGCTCCATCAATGCTAAAGGCTTTGATGCACACATAAAAACTGTACCCACTTTGGAATTGAACCCAGCAGATTCAGAATGAAGTTTAATGTTACAAAGTCTTTAACAATTCAGGCTTGTACAAATGATCCTCACACCTTCTTTAAAGAAATTAATATGAAAATTACTGTTGGAAGGCAGAGACCCCTTTACTTATACTCATGCCATAAAGTCCAATCAATGGCTAATGTTACACAGACCTTCAGAAACCTTGATGACAACTACAAGCACACAGCAAAAAATAATCCTCCAGTCCCAGGTACACTCTCACTCACTATGCATGCCTACACTTCACTGGCCAGGACATTCATCCATGAGGATAAAGGTAAAGCTGTCCCTAAGCCTAATTAAGTCCCATGCCATTAAGATGTATGGGGAGTGGAGGTATAGCTCTAAGCATTCTTAATCTCAATATGGATGGAAGTGAGTGACCAGCTTCATCCCCCAGCTGCCACTTTACGCCTGGTAAAACAGCCCTCAGAATCCTTTGGACAGGAGGATGGGTGGGCCCAGGATAGTGTGTGGGAACTGTGGAAAAGAGAAAGTCTATTGGCCCTGTTGAGAATCAAGCCTCAGTTCCTCAACTGACCAACCCACTGCCAAACACTGTGCCAATTGAACCAACCCAGCTCATCTGTATTCATGGCCTCCAGATACAAATCAATTACTTCAGACACACCTATACTGTTGTAAACCCAGTCACTGTACACATGCCACACTACAATTACAAACAGCAATAAATTATTTTGTCTTTATTTATACATCATAATAAAAACTGTTTAAAATGAAGGTCATCATTGGTTAGATGGACAGACAGACAGACAGACACAACCTCTCCATAATTTGTTACATATATTCAGAATCGTTTGTGGTATGTCTCTGGTACCCAGGCAGGTAACACACCTGGAGCAATGCCACTGCTGTGGGCAACTCTCAGATGTACCATTAAGCTCCCACGCATCTTGAAGGCCTTTGAACAGAGATGACATGAAAACTGTCGTCTCTCATCCAAGTGGTGACTTTGTTTAGATCCATTTGATGATTCCATTCTGTGACTTAGTGTTTCACTTCCACTTTCCATACAGTGAACTAGTTGATGATGTATTCCTAATATTGAGGCATCGTCAAACACGAAACCACAAATATCGCATCTTATGACTTCCTTAGGTTCTTTTTCCTCTGAGACAACTGGTGTTGATTTCTCTTGTGGTGGTGTAGAACTTGAAGCTGGACACTGGACTGAAGCGTTTTGATGGGTTGTTTTTGTTGCATTTCCAGAACTGCAGTGATATGGAAAATAAAGTGCCTTATTATCCAGTGGCGAAGAAATGTTTCCTATTATTGTCATTTGTGATGTGTCCATAGATTCTGCAACTGTCCTTGAAGATTTCTTTGTTGTCTGCACTGGAACAGATTCACTGTTGCTTTGAGTACATCCAAGTAAAGGAGCACTGCTACTCTGGCTACTAGCAGTGAATTTAGAGTCCAAATTATTAATGCTTAATTGTTTTTCTTGCGCCGCATTTATGTCTGGCTTTCCTGTCTGGAGTTTCCTTCTTGCTTCAGTAGTGTCAGTAAGATTTATAGAACTTTGTTTATCGCCAACATTTTCCAGTCTTTTCATATCTTCCATTCTTGTTTCCTTGCACCAACAGCCTGATGATGCTGGATGGTGTTTACCATGGGATATGCTAGTATGAAAGTTCAAAATTGGACATTCTTTCATATTATTTACCTCTGTATTGAAATCTGTTTTGGTACATACCAGAAGATCATCAGTCTGTGAGGGTGAGGATCTCTGCTGGTTTGGTGGTGCAGTGGGACTGCTGAAAGAAGACATGGGAAGGGGTACACTGCTACTACCTTCCTGATGCTGTTGCTGAACTGAATGACTAAACAGATGAATTGTGAATTTGTCAAGACCAAACAGAATATCGTGACACATAGGGCACACAACTTGACGAGTAGCAGCACTGATGAGCCCAAAACGTAATGAGTCAAGAGACTGAAACCCTGGCTGAGAGCACAGTGGACAAGTGAGAAGTGGTGAAGACATTCTGAGCAGCACAAGCGATTCTGAAACAAAGAAGAATAGAACTAGAAAAGGCTGACGGGGATGTACTCACAGGTGCTAGTGTTGGAATTAAAACCGAAGAAGAAAAGATACCAACTAGCAATAATGAATACATATACTTTGAAAAATGATTCCTCTGTTCTGAATACTCTAGGGCAACTGGTAAAAATGGTCATAAATTGGTACAGGTTTGCAAGCCAATTAACTATCTCCCCATCCCCCGCTCAGAAAAATTCCATTGGCTCCCAGAGATGTCGACTCACATTAACAAAATATGAAACACCACCTAAGCTGAAATAAGAGAAAGTCCAATTAAACTAAATTCAATCTACAATTTCATCCACAGCTGAATTCACATGCACATTGCAATACTCTCCTTAACACACATCAAATGTGTTAACTCAGGGGTTTTCAAAGTTTGTGATACCAGAAGCCCCTGCCCCAATCTACGCCATTCAGTATAAAGTGCAATTCCACACAATGTTACAGATCCCTATAGGGCGGTAGGGTACCAGCAGGAACCTAAATAGTTTTACAGCCTCTCTATATCTATAAAAAGCTATGAAATGCCCTGTACTGTCAAAAAGCTGCAGTTCCAAAAGCACAGATATTAAACCTCACTAACCTGCTGACTTACCAGAACTGTGCTTTGATACATCTATATTTAAACTACCATATTATTTCAAATATAAGACACTCATTTTACATATATTTCCCTGTTGAAAAATTGAAGAATGTGCACGTTTCTAATTTTTCCCCCCAAAATTCACATTCAAAAACATCTTAAATTTGGGGGCAACTTACATTCAAAGTAATATAGTAATTCCTGTGAAATCTGTGACCCTGTTACAATACACTGCAAACCTTGGGGGAATGCGACCCAGTTTGAGAAACCATGTGTTACCCAGTTTAGAGTAAAAGTTGCAGAGATGCAGACACAATTACACTGACTTAATTGGGCACATTAAGCCAAGCATAACAGAAACTGCAATGTATCTGGACATTTCATGGAAAAAAAAAACAATAGAGGTTTCACATAAAATCTAAAAATCTTTTCATGGGCAAAAATTTCCCCACTTTATTCAAAATTATATAAATAATAATTTTATCTTGTATATTCTTATGAAATATGTTTCAAAAGTTGTCATCATCTTTTATGAGAACTCTGCATGCCATTTACCTAGTTCACCAAGCCAGTGTTGCTGTATTAAACCTTAAATAGTTTCATCAATAAATTGATACACATTACTAAAGATAAAAGTAATAAATCCATATAAGATACTGCTCTCATTGCATTCAGACTACTCACACACATGCACATCAGTGTGTACTTGTTAATGAAGGTACAACACATGTTTCATGGTTTCATCTATGCAAATGGGTGTTTTGTAATAAGTACACTTACCATTAAAAGAGTTAAACAACTAACAGAATCTAACACTACACCTTCAATATTTTGACAACAGCATGGCAACAAGAGTCAATACAAATCATAAAAAATAATTAAAATTTCGTTAGTAGTGTGGTATAGGTAATAGGTTTTAAAATCTTATTTTGAAATCTTTTACTTGATAATATTACAAATTTCTTACAAACAAATGTAGTTAAAATACTGGTATGTCACTAATGTTGGTTATTACTTTGTCTTTGTCTTCCTTTCACTGGATGTGATGGAAATAAAACAACTAGGAAAGTATTTAAAAATAGAACAAGGGAAGTGGCCATCAGTTTGCATGTGTGAGGCTGCACTACAGACATATGAGAAACATTAACCCCACAGGGCTTCACTGAAATGATTAATGTGAATGAGGGAGAGACAGAACTGGGACATAATATGACCATAAACGCAGGTCCAATTTCTTTGATTCAGTTTAAACACAACAGGATGAACACAATAAAAAGTGGGAATGTTGTATCTAGTGTAATTCACAGTTTCATAAGTTTCCACGAAACATCAGGTTACATTTGGCCAATCGATTTTAAGTAAACCCTCAATAATCTGGTTTCAGTTAAAAAACTCCGTGGCATGTAGTCCGCAAGCAAACTATACCGACCGAGCGACCGCCGCTTGTCGGCGAAGGTTACAGTTAATCCGGATCAAAATATTTTGTGTTCACGATTGAGAACATACTTTAGAAGACACATGGCATTTAGAAGCAAAAGGGATTAGAGCAAGAGGACTATCAGACTGTGTTGAGGGCAGCTGGAGAGACTGAAACCATGCAAGGAAATATTCAAGGTTGGCTTCAACTGTTTGAAGGAGACCCTTGATTTCAAAGTCAAAGTCAAATTTACTTTGCGACTGACGTCCGCAAGCACAGTAAGTCTTGGTGTCGAGCCCCACCTGGGGCTCATGACCAGTTATTAATTATTACCGTTTGACAGTTACGGTTTTAATTTTGTGGGGCGCCCTCTCTGACGAGAGGACGGGTCTGTCTTTTGCATATGCTGCTGGCCCTTGCCAGCGCGGTCTTTCTCGGGTCTGAGTCCCTTGGTACTCGCGACCATATTTTACTGTCTCACATTTGAGAATTCCCTTTTCGTCGCCTCCTACGACTCGCAGGGTCACGGTGGAGGTATTCGACCCCGCCTCCACACGGGGTAGGTCGGGTCTACCTTGGTTACTCCTTATTATATAGCTTCCGCACCGACCACACAGAGAACAGCCTATATTGTTGTTAACCGCAACGTTACTTAGCAATATAGAAGACGCAGTAGTTCTGTTGTTGTCTTGCATGTATTCGGTCGCGAGGTATGTAACGGTCAGTTACCTAGCAACGCTCTGTCTAGCACGGTACATTATTATTATTATTATTATTATTTTTTCCTGGAAATACGTATCTAATTTTAGAAAACATAGGTCCGGTTCCATTCATCTAGAAGTTGATGGTACACACCTAGTCCAGCCCAAAGCTCTTGCTGATGCATTCGCTAAGAACTTTCAATCTGTTTACAGTAACCACTGCTCTAAGGTCATTCACCCTCTCTCGCAATCTTCTGAATTTTTATCCCTTGCCCCCATTTCTGATGCTGATGTCTACAAAGCCATCAAGAGCATAAAAACATCAAAATCTGTTGGGCTTGACGGTATTCCTGGTTTTATCATCAAAGGTTGTTCAGGCATTTTTATTCCTATACTTACGCATACATTTAAATTGAGCCTGACGCAGCAGTATTTTCCTGCTGCATGGAAAGAATCTGCTGTTGTACCAGTATTTAAAAGAGGCAATCATGCCGCTGTGAGCAACTACAGGCCTATTTCTATTCTCAGTAATTTCTGATTCAGGAGGAAATTAAAAGGAGACTGAACTTGGTTTAANCACACCTAGTCCAGCCCAAAGCTCTTGCTGATGCATTCGCTAAGAACTTTCAATCTGTTTACAGTAACCACTGCTCTAAGGTCATTCACCCTCTCTCGCAATCTTCTGAATTTTTATCCCTTGCCCCCATTTCTGATGCTGATGTCTACAAAGCCATCAAGAGCATAAAAACATCAAAATCTGTTGGGCTTGACGGTATTCCTGGTTTTATCATCAAAGGTTGTTCAGGCATTTTTATTCCTATACTTACGCATACATTTAAATTGAGCCTGACGCAGCAGTATTTTCCTGCTGCATGGAAAGAATCTGCTGTTGTACCAGTATTTAAAAGAGGCAATCATGCCGCTGTGAGCAACTACAGGCCTATTTCTATTCTCAGTAATTTCTGATTCAGGAGGAAATTAAAAGGAGACTGAACTTGGTTAAAGCTTGCTACCATTCAGTCCAGAATCTTTTATCTTCTAGCCTCCTGTCTTAAAACGTAAATTTAGAATATACAAAAATATAATTTTGCCTCTGGTTATGTATGAGCATAAAACTTGGTCTCTGACATTAAGAGAGGAACCTAGACTGAAGCTTTTCGAAAAGAGGGTGCTCACGAAAATATTTGGACCAAAGAGAGTTGAAGTGATGGGAGGGTGGAGAAAACTGCATAATGAGGAGCTTCATTTTCACTGTTTACATCCTGATAATTTGTGTTATTCTGGCCGTCAACACAGCAATAAAAATGATTCAATGGAATTGTTTTAATTGGTTTTATTTAATAAGTGCTACATATTTCGGTCCACATTTGGGACCATCGTCAGGCAGTTTCATTAAATACGTCTCGCGTTACTGAAATATTCTAGTATGGATCCGTATAAGCGATAATGAATACAATCATATAAGCGTCATAACTTGCACTCTTCGCCAAGTGTAATTAGATTAAACGAGTCAAGGAGGATGAGACGGCAGGGCATGTAGCACGAATGGGAGGATGAAGAATGAATATAAGATTTTGGTGGGAAAGCCATAAGGAAAGTGACTACTATGAAGACCAAGACATAGGTGAAAAGATAAAGTTGTCCCTGTACTTAACTAATTAAGCACTACGCCGTGAAGGTGTATGGGGAAATGGATGTATAGATCCATATTTTCTTGACCCCTGCCCTAGTTGGAAGTGAGTGATCAGCTTCACGCCCCGGTCCCTTTACCCTGGGGGAGAGGACTCCCAGTACTCATTGGATAGGAGGCTGGGTGGGCCCCAGAGCCGGTTTGAACGACGTGGAGAAGAGAAAATTCATGACCCTATCAGGACTCGAACTCATATTCCTTGGTCGTCCAGACCGTAGCCAGTCGCTATACCGGCTACGCTATCTCGGATCCTACCAAGACGTAGGTGGGTGGATAATATTAAAATGGATCTTAAAAAGATAGGATGGGGTGATATGGACTGGATTGATCTGGCTCGAGATAGGGACCAGTGGAGGGCATTTGCGAACACGGCAATGAACCTTCGGGTTCCATAGAATTTGGGGAAATTCTTAAGTAATGCACAACTGTCTGGTTCTCAAGAAGGGCTCAGTTCCATGGAGTTAGCTATTTAGCATTAAAATATAAAACCTACTCGATCTTCATATACGTAAATCAGCCATTACCTCAGACCGTACGCGTAGACTAAAATTAAACAAGTAGTACGGTTCTGCTGGTGGCCATTTAAGGGATATTTCAATGAAACCTTTTGGTACGTACAGGGCTGAAACATGCGGACACAAGACAAGCATCGTTTCATTTTCTCTTCTCCCTTCAAAGGACATAATCAGCCTGTCTATGCAGCGTACAGACGAGCATGAAGTAACTAGGTACTGAGAAAATATTTGTCAATAACAGGTGTGACAATTAAATTGCCGGACTAACATTTTGTGCGCAACGGGTGGCTTCATGATTCTGGATGACTGTGTGCCTAAGGACGCTGCCAGCAGCTCAGGCCACACAGCGTCGAACGATTGGAGGATAATAAATAATTAACTGGAAAGATGTCAACGGGAGAGGTCATGGCCTAATTTACGGTAATATCCCGACATTTGTCTGGAGGGACTGAGCAAAATAATGAAAGAAAAACTCGATCAGCACGTCCCAAATATGAGTTAATAGCGCCACCACTTAGGTAACTTGCTCGGTGAAATACAATTGTAATTGTGTCTGACAGACGGTGGAATTGAGCGCGTTTATGGTTACGGTAAGTAATCTATTCGCACAAAGTGTTGTTTGTCAAAAGAGCCTAGATCTTGTATGAAGTTCTGCAGAACCAACCCACACAGTCACTCATGGAGCTGAGCCCTTCATGAGAAGCCTCCAGTTGTGCAGCTACTCAAGAACTTCACAGCAATTCATGGAACCCAAAGGTTCACTACCGTGTTCACAAGAGCCATCCACTGGTCCCTATCCTGGCCAGATCTATCCAGTCCATACCATCCTCTTCTATCTCTCTAAGATCTATTTTAATATTGTCCACCCACATACGCCTTGCTCTTCCCAGTGGTCTCTTCCCATCTGGTTTTCCCACCAATATTCTACATGCATTCCTCTCCTCCCCATTCCTTCTACATGCCCTGTCCACCTCATTCTCCTTGACTTGATCATTCTAATTATACTTGGAGAAGAGTACAAGTTATGAAGCTCCTCATTATGCAGTTTTCTCCAACCTCCTGTCACTTCATCTCTCTTTGGTCCAAACACTCTCCTCAGCACCCTGTTCTCAAACACCTGCAGTTTGTGTTCCTCCCTTAATGTCAGAGACCAAGTTCCACACCCATACAGAACCACGGCAAAATTATAGTTTTGTATATTCTAATTTTTATGTTTTTGGACAGCAGACGAGAAGAGAAAAGGTTCAGGACTAAATGGTAGTGAGCATTACTGGAGTTCAATCTCCTCTTAATTTCCTCCTGAATCAGGTTTTGATCTGTTATACTCGTNGTATCTTCCCATCAGGAGATGTGCAAGTAAATTTATGGATGTTACGATGTGGGAACATTGTACTTTTGACAGTAAGATTTTTTGATGTGGCAAAGTTTACTGCTCTAACTTCATTATCATTATTAATTTCGTGTAAACCCTCATTCCAATTAGTTGGTTTGAAAATATCTTCCCTGCCTTCTTTGGCATTGAAATCTCCTAACATAATTTTCATATGGTACTTCGGGAATTTATCGAATAT